CTTCTCCTGGCTGAACGCCCCGGCTCGAACGGCTGAATAAAAACAATTTTTCGCGGACGCTTGGTCCCCCCGGATCTCCATGATACCCTCTGGCGTGGCGAATTTTAATTTCTGGTGGAAAGTGGAGTGCACCGCTCCCAACGCATGCAGCCATGTTCGCCCCATAATCACGTTGTAGGGAGAGTCCGTATCGATCACGACAAACTCGGTGTTGATGACGAAGGGACCTGTGACAACTGGCAATGTGATTTTCCCCACGGGCAGGGCGAACGAGCCGTTGAATCCGATGAGGGGTGTCCTGACTTTGGTGAGGTCTTTGAGGCCAAGACCCATCCGTTTTAAAGTTTCGGAGTACATCACTTCCGAGGAACTTCCAGAGTCTATCAAAACCCTTTTGACGTCGAATTTTCCTATCCTCAGGGTCAAGACAAGGGCGTCGTTATGAGGAGTCACTACGCCTGTCAAATCCGCGTCGGAGAATGTAATGCCAAGCTCACCCGTCCTGGCCCTTTTACTAGGTGGCCCTACATCAACCTCGGCTACCTTCCTCGTAAAAGCTACCCTCTTGAGGTCGGACTCGAGTTCCTTGGACGTGGGGCGATCCAGGGGACATATATGGATGACATCTATGATGTTGTCCGGCTCCTCGGTCGGGGCAAGGGCTTGTCTCTCTTCTGGCCTGGGCTCTATGTACTCTTTCAAATATCCGTCTCGGACCAATCTTTCCAAGAACGATTTGAACACCCTGCAGCTTTCGGTGCGATGCCCGAAATCCCGGTGATAGGAACACCTAACCTTTTGATCACGGGTGGAGGGGTCGCTCTGCATCCTGGGCGGCCATTTGAAGAACGGCTCGTGCTTGATTTTATGGAGCAGCTTGAAGATGGGTTCCTTGAACACAGTGTGAATTCCTTTGGACGGACCCCCTGGAGGGGGTAGCAATCCCTTTCGGGGAATATCTTCCCGCTCCTTCTCTTTTCTCTTAGATTGGAGGGCTCGGCCTTTGCTGCTTCCCATCTCGTCCTCAACCCTCGAGTATTTGTTTATCCGGGCCATTAGTTCCCCCATATCCGAGGGAGTCTTCTTGGTCAGGGATCGGTACAGGTCCGTGTCCCTTGCCAAGCCGAGCCGGAAAGATGCTGCTGCCATGACCTCCGAGCAGCCTTCTACCTCATTAACCTCTTCCCAGTATCGGATGGCGTACTGGCGAAGAGTCTCGGATTCCCTCCTTCTGAGGGTCAGCAATGATCCAATGTCTTTGGGGCGCTTACTCCCCGTAATGAATCGAGCCAGGAACTGCTTCGTCAATTCCTTCCATGACCCAATACTGTTGGGGGAAGCGCCTCGAACCACTTCATCGCAGAGTCCCCCAAGCTCATAGGAAACACTCGGCAGAGAAACCGTTGGTCCGAATGATAGAGGGACATCATCTGCTTGTATTGCCTGACATGGGCTTCGGGATCGGACCGCCCGTCATAAGTTTTGAACCGCGGCACGACAAACTTTCTTGAAACCTCCATCTCACCGATCTCCCTCGTAAAGGGTGTTTGTATGACTTCGTCCTCGGCCTCATCCTGGACAGCCTTACCCTTTCTCCTGGAGTCTAACCGGGCTCTGAGATCAATTTCTTCCCTGACGGGATGCCTTCTGAAGTCCTTGAGTTCATCGGTAAGCCCCTCATTTCCTGGGCGTCGTGTGGATTGGGTTGAGTCCTCCTCGGATTCATCTCCCTTCCTCCGTCTAGACAAACCTCGCCGGAGGTCGTCCAGGGCCAATGGCCTTGCTTTCCTTGAATGGTTGTCATGATGATGCTCGCTGGCTCTGGGTCGCTTTGGGGCCCTAGAGCTTTCTGCTTTGTTGTTTAGGTGGTTTCTTAGATCCTTCGTTTCCGCCTCCCGGGCGGGAAGCCCACGAGAAAGGAATGAATCCCTCGACCCTTCGCTAGAGGCGGCAAACTCGTTGAGCCGGCTTAGGACGTTTACATTGTCCTTTTCCAGCTGTCGTAATCTATTGCCAAACTTTTCTTCAATCACCTCCGCCAGCTGACGAGCCAAGGGGGCTGATCCCCCTGACCTGATTCCCATACTGGTTTGAGGGGTAACCCCTCTTGACCGAGTAGAGACACTTTTATTCATATCGGTGTGATCCCTTCCTCCGTGATGACAGGGAGCTTGTAACTCGAGACTCCTTTGGTGGGGGCCTTTCCCTTTCTGTCGAGTGTTCACCATGGTCACTGTTCTTTATAGAGAAAAAACTAGAAAAACTAGTCGTTTCCCACAGACGGCGCCAGATTGTGCGTGCAAGATCCTGCACAATATAAAAAACGAGAACAGATCTCTCCCTTGGTGAACTCGAGTGAGCCAGTTGAGTGACCAACCACGCTGCTTGGAACAGCCTGCGAGGTCCGGTGGTAACCTGGAACGGCAACGGGAGACCCTGGGGGAGCGGAAGAACGATCCAGTAAGGCTGAAAGAGGTTCCTGGAACAAAGAAGAACAAGTTAGAAGGGCGCCGGAGTGTTTTCCGGCGTATCCCCTCCGACGATCTAGTCAGTCTTTGAGAAAGAGAGAGGAAGGAGAAAACACTGAGTGTGTATTGTAGTAAAGAGTTTTTTGTTGCATACCCGTCTTGCCTTTTGCAAGGAGTATTTATACCTCAAAAGCTCATGATTGCTGTCAGTGTAGTCAGTAGGTGATCATTAGGTACAGGCAGTGTGCGCACTGATTCTGATGAGGAATGTCTTCTCTTCTTAACTGCTCGGGGTCCCGAGCAATCAATGCTGTGTCATCGGGATGCCGACGGTACAATGTACTCCTCTCGGGGAGGATGCAATAAATGCTCTGTATTAGGAGCATTTATTGTCTTTCATTTCCGAGTCTTACTGCATTGAATGCGGTCTCGTCAAGGGAATGGTGTAATTAATCGTTTGCTTTCCCAAGTCGCGTGTCAGCAACGACATGCGGTTTCTCTGTCTTCGATGTGATATCATATGCCACGCGTCCATCCCCCATTGGCTGTGGCCCCTGCATTCCTGTACGTTTTGACACTAATTGTGTAAGACGAGGTCATGCTGAATAGCCTAGACTAGTCTAGGCTAATGACCTGTACGTCAATAGCTTATCCTGGAGTAGAGGAGGCGTCCAGGACGGGGTACCTCTCGGCACCGAGGAAAGGCTCATCTCGGACCCGAGGGAGGTATACCGACCGAGGTACCATATCAGACGAGGCTACGTGTCGGTTGTAAAACATACTGAATGCCATGATCCTATATGACGAGTACCTCGGGGGCGAGGACTTTTGCGCGCCGATAGTGCTTGATCTTAGCAACAGTGTTTTGGTAATACCGAAGACACGTGTCTTCATCATGGAATATTTCAGAAAAGTCTCATCAATGTTCTTCAAAAACTTTTTGATTTCTAGAATCCTAAAGCAATTTGGAAAAATATATTCTCTATAATATTATTATTAATATACCAAACTGCTAAATTATTTTAATAAACCAACATAAATAAGAAATTCTTTTAAAGTTCATTTGACCTGCCATCAAACTGCTATACTATTTGAGTTATAAACTAACTAGAGATCTAATAAAATAACTAATGAAAGTTTAGGTCCAACTCTAACATAGAAGTTTCTGAAATTAAATTTGAAACTTGGAAGTGGTGATCTTGCCACAGTGTCTTGGGAAAGACCACTTCAAACAATAATAGCATAATTATTATTGAAAAATATTACATAATCCAAACGAAATTTAAATGCATATAATCTCTTAGATAAGTATGGACTGAGTGCGTCCCATTGAAAAAAATTGATAGGACTCATTCATTTATGGTCCGTTTGGTAGGAATGATGAAAAATATGAAAGATAAAAAGTTGGAAGGATAGAAAGTTGAAAGAAATATATTTTCCCTCATTATGTTTGGTATGATGGATGGAAAATTGAAGGGATGCATTTTCCTTTGTTTGGTATTGGATGGAAAGGAAAAATATATATATCAAATTTACCATTATACCCTCACATCTAATTACATGAATAAGATTAAAGAAAATAACCAAAATGCATGATTTTGTTTATAAGTATATAATATTTAAACCCCCTAAAATTTATAAGTATATAATATTTAGACCATTTTTAAGTTTAAAATGTTATACTTAGACAGAAAATACTCTAATCAAAGATAAAATATTAAATATTTCAAATTTTATAACCAAAATTCATGTTCTATTATATCATTTATTGAAATAAAATTAAAAATAAAATTTACTTATAAAGAAATTCTTCATTTAATTATTTAAAGTGTATCTAACTAGAAATTATATGTATTTTTTTCATTATGTACATTTAATTATTAAATCTTCCATTACATACACAAAAGCAAACTTAATAAGTTAAGTTCTAATTATATTATGTGGTAAATACTAAAAATTATATAATTAAATAGAGTGGTGGGTAAAATAGTCAATTAACAATAAAGTCCATCTTCCCTCCATTTTCAATTCATTTTTCCCATTTTTGGGGAGAAAATGTTTGTTGGACTCAAGAAAAAGCATTTCCTTCCATTTTTCATTTTTCATTCCCTCCCATTTTCCCTCCATACCAAATAATGGAGAGATTCTCCTTCCATCCCACTTTCCTTCCTCCATTTTTCGTCTTCCCTATTTTTTCTCAAATCAAACAGGAGTTAAGGATGATATGTATTTAATTTACAATTTTTTAAATTTTATTTAGGTTTTGCAGTATTACTCATTATTCTTCACTGTGTTGAATTAGGAATTACAAGAGAGAATTAAATGTTTCACAAATCAACAAAAATGAAGATAAACAAGGAAGTAAGAAATTAATCTCGGACACAGGAGTCCCTGTCTGTTTATTTTTTTTGTCAGGAACCAATCTCTCTCTTTACAATATTATTGGTAATTGCCAACCGACAATAATGGTTTGACGCTAGTGGCAAACAAATGAGGGGGCCACCAATCTCAAATTGTCAATAAAATAAGACCTCCGGTATAATCATGTTCCATTTTTTTTACTAAAGCAACCAAGTCCGCTTGCTTCCTTTCAATTTCCATCCAGCATCCATGATGAAAAAGCAGTGTTTAGGAAGAGAAAGAACACTAAGAGATGAAGCAATAACACCAGTAGGCATTCGAAATCAAATGAAAACACACATTACATTAGCTGGCCACACTCTTCCGTATATGCAAAATGTTTTAGAAAACCCGAAATTACAATCTATATTTGACAAAGATGCACAAAGTTGCTGGCTGATTCAGCATTAACTGGTTGGATCCGCATAGTAGCAGAAGTAAAAAGATTTACTGGGGGTTTGGTGGGCGGCTATTAGCAGCAGAGACCCTAGAGCCCCATTCAAGTAACTCTTTGCTTGTATCATCCTTATGAGCAATCACTTCGATGAAGCACAAGCAATCTTTCTTGGCATTAGTTGCTGTCTTAATTGCTTCAATGAGCTCCTCTTCATAACGGACCTGCAACGATAAATGCAACAAATGTCTGATGTTCAACACACTGCCCACTTAACTGTTATCTGTAGAACAAAAGCAGTATGCAACTCACTCAGCTCACCTTTGTTGTCCAGCAATTGCCTTCGCCGTTGTGGATTGCATCAACCAATCCAGTGTAGTTCCAGTTCTTGATTACATTGTACGGTCCATCATGGATCTCAACTTCAATGGTGTAACCAGCATTGTTTATCAGGAAGATAATGGTCCTCTGTCCACACCGTAGCATTGTTGAAACATCTTGAGCAGTCACCTGCAACAATTCACCAAGAAGAATGTAAAACACACAAATGTTGGGTGTGAAATTGATTTAATCAGGAGATTACTTCACTGTTTTAAGCCAAATTGTGAACACTTCGACGAATTCTATTTGCAGCGAAACAGAGTATACATATATACCTGGAAGCTCCCATCACCAATGCAAGCAATCACTCGTTTATCAGGTACAGCCTGTGCATAACCAAGAGTTGCACCCACAGACCAACCAATGGATCCATATTGCATTTGGAACTCGTACCTGCATACCCAAATTTTCACAAACGCTGTAAATAGGAATAACTCCGGCATAAAAGCAAACAAAAAACCTGCATTCTGTATTGCTCACCCGCATCCTTCTGGCAACTTCAGCTTCTGGCAATTGAACCATGAGTCCCCTGTCTCAGCAATCACAGCCGTGTCACTTGACAACATATTCTGTATATGCTCGAACAGAACATTGACCCTCAAGGCCTCCTTAGGTTCACACTTGAGTGGATGTCCTTCAGGAACATAAATCCTGTGGTAATTTTCATAAGCAGTCGGGTTGTGCTTAAGCCGTTTTGCAAGTGCTTTCAGGAAATCCTTCATCAAAACACACCCAAAAGCAGGCCCATTCCCAATAACCACACGATCGGGGTGCACAATGATGGCCTTCTCTTTCTTGAGAAGCAGAGAATACCCAACAGAGCTGTAGTCATTGAATATTGGTCCAGCAAACAAATATGCATCAGCTGATTCCACAATTTCAGCACAAAAGGCTGTGCTCACCGCGCCCCAGTAAGTCCCAATGAAATGGGAATGGTGCTCCGGCACTAGCCCTTTAGCTGATGGCATTACCGCAAGTGCATAGCCAGAAGCATCAGCCAATTCAAGAAACGCCTCGGATGCCTTAGCAACCCGTAGTTTGGGCCCTCCCACCATTACTGGCTTCACCGCCTTGTTCAAGAACTCTGCCGCTGCCTCCACAGCTGCCTCCAAACCCATCGGATTACTCAATCTACATCACCCCATTATTACAATCAACATAAATCAAATCAAATCAATTTAAACCCACAATCCAGAATAGGATACTATGCAAACACATCAGCCGACAGCCATTGTATTCATACAGAATCATACATATATGAAGATATATAAACTGTAATCTGATTAACATTTGACTACAAAGAATTGACATCAAATAATTAAAAATTCGAACTAAACATTACAGATACATTAAACAAATATATGCGCTCACTGGCACACACGCACACACAAATATATTACTGAAAGAAAATGAAATCTTACTTGGGAGATAGTGAAAATGGGACCGGCTCATGACTAAAAGTAGGATGGGGAATCGCCGGCAAGTTACAGCTTATACTTATATAAACAGGCTTGCTCTCTTTCAGAGCAGTAGATATAGCCATATCGATCTGTTCATGTGCATCCTCCAAATTATTCACCACAGCCTATACTATCATAATTCATAAGAATCAATCAGCGTTAACAAAACCCACAAACCATTCACTACAAAATCGTAAAAAAGACAAGACCCAATAGTATCTTTCGTTCTTACCTGATAGCAAGTGACAGTCTGAAAGCAACGAAGCTCTTGACTGAAGTCGGCTAACCCAATAGTATGATGGAGGATCCTATTAGTCCCATAGTCATTGGAGTTGGGTCCACCAACAATACAAATCACTGGAAGATTCTCACTATAAGCACCGGCTATAGCGTTCAGAACGCTCAACCCTCCGACGGTGAAGGTCACAGCACATGCGCCGACGCCGCGGGCGCGAGCGTAGCCGTCGGCTGCGTAGCCAGCATTGAGCTCATTACAGCAGCCGATGAGGTTGAGCCCAGGCTCGGCTATAAGGTGGTCGAGGAGAGTCAAATTAAAATCTCCGGGGACAGAGAAAACGTCGGTGGCCCCTATTTGGACTAGCCGGCGAGCGAGGTGGCGACCCAGAGTCGACTCGACCGAGTTGCATGGGATGGCTGAGTTTTGGATGGTGGATACGACGCCGTTCGTGGGTATGCTTCCTACGTCGCTGCACATTGGCATACAAGTATCCAAAGCTCCGATCTTGGTGTCCATCACCGAGTGACAAAGGTTAGGATTAAATGTACGCTTAAGATTATGAGAGAAATTTAGGATGAATGGCTTTTGTTCTGATTTTGATTGACAGGTAGTGTGTGAGGGAGAGGAAAGAAATGGAGTAGGATTTATATGAGGGTGGTGGCACAGAAGAGGTTCGGTGGAGGACGAGGTGACAAACAAAACAAGGGGCGGTTGTGGTACTGAGGGCGGTTTTGGTACTGGGTTTTGGTGGAAAGAGTGGGTCGGGTTGGGGTTGGGGTTGGGGGTGTGTGTTGTGCGTGTAAATAGGGCGGATAATTTACTGGAATTTTATAAATTCGAGCCTATTAAATTATTTTTTAAATAAATTTAAAACTTTATTCAAATTCAACTCATTTATAAATACTGCACAGGTGAACTTCTGTATTGAGTAGAGATAAGGATGTGATAGATGATAGACTTGAGACGATAATAAGTAATATAATAGAATAGAGATACTTGGTATTGTCGTGTGGAAGTTGTAAGGTGAGTGGTCAAAAACAGACATAAGTATATGAAACGTGTATTAAAAGATTTCCGGTGACCAGGGAGGACTGTGGATTATTCATACTGAAATTTGAAGATAGGACTCATGTTGAGAAGGAAAAGGCCAATTTTATTCATGAAAGTTTACAATTTGTATTGGAATGCAATTCTTCGAGCGGAAATTCATGTTCTACTCTTGTTGATGTATAAATGTTGAACTTCATGAAAATTGCATCTTCTATGAATCGAATAATATTTTAATATTTGGGTCATATTATTTTAATATATTCAGATCGTATTGTTTCACATCTGTATTTTATGTGTATATAAATCATTAGTAACTTTTAACAGTGGTTGAGTTTGACATTTAATAATTTAAAAATTTTAGATTTAATATCTTCTTGCATCCCTTGGGACTTGTTTGACTGTATTTTCTGGAAGAGTTTGAATTGGATTCCCCAAATTCTTTTAAACACATTCTTCTTCTTCTTTTTAAATTTTTTTTGGGAGAGGAGGGAATTGAACCCTTGACTTTAAGAAAACAAACATTTCACAAAGTAAAGAGTACCGTTGAATCCAAAGATGAAATTTAACGTTGAATCCAGTTCATACCTATTTTTGATATATAACACATACATATGTAAGATCCACGGATTTATCATAATTATTAACAATCATTTGTTCTATAAAAGATTATTTTGTCATTTGATCAATCCAATTTATACTCATGTTAATGATATAATTGTCTTTCATATCTTTAATCTCTTAACCGTCTTCTCAAACTCACCCTTTTAGGTTTGACAAAACCATTGATCATAAGTTTAATATTCAGATCAGCCACTGACTGGGTTTAATATCCTAGAATTGAATTTTTAATCCAAACATGGAGTTTGGGATCCTTTGGACTATTTTTCTCAAACTCATCTCATCAAGTCCTTCATATTCTCTCACCAAACAACTCCTAAAAATTAGTTATCTTGTCTTTTTAAAGACATGCTATAACTTAACTCAAATCACCGTTGAGTTTGAGAGAACAGTCAACTTAAAATTAAACACCTTATAGTAAAAAAAAAAATTTAATTAATTAATCTTTACTCAAAAAGTTCAAAATTAATATTCCATTCTCTTCATCCATATGTCATTTGGCCATTTATCTTTTTCTAAAATTTTTAAAAAAATTCCTTGATCTATTCTGTACAACAAAAGCAAAATTTGTGGCGATGAATATGGCAGTGGTATTTAGGTGAACTATGAGTGGGGGCCACATAATATTAGAGGCCATGAGGAAGGAGAGAAGTCAAACCGTCAAATACCAGAGAATCAACCCAACTTGTCATTTTACAAACCTGGTTTAGCTGTAATCTGGTTTTTGAATGTCTGTTGTTGGTTTCAATTGTCGTTGTAAAATTTGATTATAATTCTCCAAACCCACGACTAAACATTAGAGGTAACGTTTGCCATCAAACCAATACCGTCACGTAATATTATAAATAAAATAAGGTAAACTTTATTTAATAGTTATTTTCAGACATTATATGCTTACCAAATGACATGTATAATAATATTTGAAATTCATTGATTTGTTTGTTATGTTTTTATTGAATAGTTGATGACGTGATTTCAAGGTTACACGTACGAACAATGTTATAGAGATTTAATTTGGAGACTTAATTTGATAATTTAATAATTTAATGAATTTAATATAATCATTAAATTAATTAAAAATTCTAATGTTAGATACAATTTACTACCGATCTAATAATTATATTAAATTAAATCTCCAAATTAAATCTAAATAATATTTTACTAAAACCTAATATTTTGCTGGGACAGCTGCACTCGAACATATGGGGACGTCGGCTGATGATGTTCAAGGAACGACGGGGTTTGAGATCCAAAACCGCCAGCATAGTTTGGTATTCACAAAACCGTATGATTCGTTGGTATTCACATAACAATTCAAAATGTTCATCTTGGAATCACACGTGCCGTGCATGCTCACGTCCGTAAATTGAGCCAATGAGGCGTGAAAATATTGGCTACAACGTTCTCTAATAAATCGACAAATGAGTCTCACGTTAATGATTATTTTAGTTAGTGGCCTCGTTAATTTTTACCTTTCCTTTTTGTGGCCCAAGCATGTGAAAGTATTTGGTGATTGCCTTAAAAAATATAACTTCTTTCGCTTCTCATTTATTCATTTCTTGAACTAGTTGAAAAAGAGTAATGTTATGTTGACTAAATTTTGAAATTAAATTTAGAATTCAAATGATATAGCAGCATATTATTTGGAATTTTTATTTAGACCCAAATAACAAGGCACCAAATAAAGAAACTTAAGTCAGCTGTCATATCATTTGAACTCTAAATTTAATTAGTGTAACACTACTGGTTAAGTATGAACATCGTTTTCGGCTACGTATGTTGTCAAAAATAAGATTTTGAATAAAATTAATGACAATTTATTTGTGAACTCTTTGATACGGATATTAAAAATGGAATCATTTATAAGTTTTAGAAAATCAGTTATAGATTATCCTTGGGACATGAAATAACGTCAAGTTGATGATAGAATTATAACGCACAGAGGCACAAAAATTACATCTCTTTTCTTTTGTTTCATACATATTAAGGTTGAATGGTGTTAGTTTTAATTATTGATATATTATTTATATATGCACTTAAAAATATGTCTAAAACTTTAATAGCTTATATTAATTGGTGAAGTTTCTTTGTTTATATTTTGCTCCACTATGAATTAAAATTTTAGCTCCGCCCTCAAACAACGAATAGTTATGTAAATTCCGGATGCTTAAAATGACGTTGAAAACCTTATTAATAACTATTTATTTTTGGTTATATAACGATAACGAAAGTCAACAATTCAGTTACACTCTAATTTTTTGGTAAGAATTAATTTCAGATTCGTAACAGCTTGTAACAGATCCGTAACCCCTGTTAACGGTTGATAAGGGTCAAATCAAACCGATATGAGTTGTTACAACTCGAGAAACCATGTGAATAACAAAGCACTAAATTTGTCAAACTTTTCACCTCTGTTCAACACAATAATCAGATTGAGCACCCACAGGAGGAGTCTCGCTTCACTGAAGACAATGGCAGTGTCCTTCAAGTTTTCAAGGTTCATGTCGGCCTCACCAGAGCGGATGAAGACCATGGTTTGCAAGGCTGTCATCGGATTGATGTTGGGGCTTCTACCGTTAATGGAGTTGCCATGGGAGAATGGAATTGCATGGGAGAATGGAATTGCAAAAGCTTTGAATTGGAATTTGAATTGGAGTTAACAAGAGAGATAAGGGGTGGGGGAGGTTAGTGGGCGGACAAGACGGAGAACAATTGGGCTCTTTGTTTTTTCTAATTTTTATCTCTATCAAACCAACAGCTGCTGTATTACTATTTTATTCAAGGCCCATAGTTAATGGGCTAATCGTTTTTTTTGAGTAAATGGGCTAACAATATCCTAATTTCTTAAAGTTTGTTATTTTACACAACCTATAATTATTGGTATTTCAAAGAACATACTAAATCATTTTTTATTATAATTATTACGGACTTTGATCATTTTTGAAAGATTATATAATGATACCCTCAATACGAACACGTCTATATCATTTTAGTGATCATTAAATATTCATATTGACTTGATTTTAGAGTAGAAACATACAAACATGCATTTTTAGGTGAGGTGTGAGTCGAAAAAAATATTCACATATCTAGTATCTGTTACCGTTACGTAATGTTCGATATGACCTGTGTCCATTACGTCGTTACTATTGTTTGCGGTGTGTCAAATATTGTAAAATCACTTATTAAAATTTCTGATTTGAATTATGTAAAATATAACAAAACAATTACAGTAAAGAGTTACACAGAAACGAAAGAGTTACAGCAGGGTAACGAAACAGTAACAACACACAGATACACATAACTGTTTGTTTAAACAATAAAAATACTAACCCAATTGCAGAACAGGAATTGTTATTGAACTTTAGGTAGATCAAGACTAGCGTTTGATACGTTGTTCTTAAGACAAATTTCGCCAACACAAATGGTGCTTATGGAAACTGAACGCCTGTCTCCCAAGATACAATGATCTTTACATAAACAGAAATAACACTCCAATTTGCTTGTCCAGCAAACCAAAATCGTGTTGTGTACTCTCTAAATGCACTGCCTTAATGCCAAAAATAATATGTTCTAATGTCTGCCTTATTGTCGAAAAGGGACTAATTAATTGAATGAAATTAATGGAAATGAGGCTGGGTATTTATAAACACATTGGTGACTTTCCGGATGTTCGTCCAACAAACCAAAATTATGTTGTGTACTCTCTAAATGCACTACCTTAATGTCGAAAATGATATGTTCTAATGTTTACCTTATTGTCGAAAAAAGACTGATTAATTGAATAAAATTAATGAAAATGAGGTTGGGTATTTATAGACACATTGGTGACTTTTCAGATAGTCACC